CATGAAAAGTTATTGTGCAACTTATGTCAAAAATGGGAATAGATGAAAGTTAAACCTGGTTAATATGCTTTTATTTTTTACATGAAACAATCAAGGGAATAGAATTAAACCAGATACTTGTATTTTAATTACGACGTAGGTTTACTAAAGAACAGGGGCGTAGCGAGGGGGGTGCGGACCGCACCGGTGACACCATTTAAGGGGGTGACACTAAGGCAAAAAATAGCAAAATTTAGCAAAACTTGACGGGGGTAGGGTGCAAATCGAAAGTTTGAGGGGGGGGGGTGCAAATCGAAAATTTGAAAGTTAGTCCCACGGATAGGTTACTACGCCTCTGGGGGGACACACCATTAAGTGCCGCACCGGGTGACACCCGACCTCGCTACGCCACTGCTAAAGAACATGTTCGCGCGAAAGGATGTATAATTAAAATCTAGATAAAAAATGTAATATAGATTTTATATGAAAAAGTTGAAGAAAAAATATTTGAACCATATGTTCTAATTAAAACGTTGATTTATCAAAGTACGTATGAGATTCTAAAATGATACAATTAAAACACAATTTTAAGTCAGCTGATGAAAATATTCGAAATGTTATGTTTAAAATATTTCAGTGATCCTGGGATACTTACGGCGATCCCCCGCTGAAAGTTGTATCATGAACACAATGAGTAAAACACAAACCGCCTTAGACAACATTTTACAAAAGTTGTTTCTTGTGTAAGCTGTTCTCCGCAAAGTAATTTTATAATTAGCAGCAGCACTTTAGTGAGTTAATTAAAACTGTTTTTTTTTTTTAAACAACAAGCTCGCTTATTGGAAAGCTTTATAAAAAAAAATCAAAGTGTCGTGGGTGGATATATATTACAAACAAAATTTCGCCTAAATTTTTTTTAATACAAGATACAAATCTAAATTCTCAAATTTTTACTTGGTAGTAAATATATATACATATATATACCTATATATACATATATATATATATATATATATATATATATATATATATATATATATATATATATATATATATATTAATAAGCCATCGTGATACACATAATTGTGTATAATATAACCAAAATAGATCAATAGTTTTGAAACAATAACTGGTCTATTAATTTGTTATTGTTCTTTTATAACATACTTTTTTAAATGAGTGTTAACTACTGATGCTCACACATGTGTATTAACAGACGCAACAAAATAACAACTCATCCATTTACCAATATTACCGATTTGTTGACATCCATTAATTGTATCCGACTCGTCTTAAATAATTACATCATCCTGTCAATGCTTTCTCCCAACTACTTAAACTGATACAGAACTTAGCCTTAACGGTAGCGTTTATAACAAATATTAGTGGATTAAAATTTAAAATATACAAGTTTTAAGAAAGAAATGGGAAAAAAGGCCAATATCTGTCTTTGTGACGATGATAGCGCTCTACTTCCAGAGTTTCTTCCAGGTATCTCTTCCACCCCCACTCTCCCGGAAAACGTCTACCACCCCCCTCGAACGAAATAGAATATATATAGAGAGAATATATACTTTAACTAGTGTCCGCCCCCTACCCCACCAAATTTTAGTCGGTGAGAGTTATAAGCAAGTTAAGAACTTTCATTTAACAAGCTTTTTCATCTGAAGTAAATCAATAGGTTAAAGGTGAGAAGTGGGGGTTGGTAGTGATCGAAACCTTAAAATCAATATTGTAGGTGGCTTTGTGTGTAATACTACAGAGGCGTAGCGACTCTTCCCGGCGCCCGGGGACAAACTTTCAATTTGGCGCCCCCCTCGTGAGCAAATTTTCGATTTGCACTCCCCCCCCCCCCTCAAACTTTCGATTTGCACCCGCCCGCCCCCCCCCCTCCCCCTCAAACTGCAAAAATGCAGCTAAAATGACATTTTAATTTGTTTTTACAACCCATTTTGGCGCCCCCTATGGTCGGCGCCCGGGGACATATGATGTCCCTTCCTGCCCCCCCCCCCATCGCTACGCCTCTGTTTAATACCTTTGAAATCATAAATTCAACCCCCACCCCTCTCCCACTCCCACCACCCACTGTACAGATGGACTACTAAGCTACTAATTAAAAGCCTAGCGGTGACTAGCATATAGGTGAGCTTAACGTAATGCTGATCCAACAAAATAAGCTGTTTACTCCGTGCCAATCACATGTGGTTATTGCTGGTCAAGGTAATTACTGCCCTTTAAATTACTCCCCCCACCATGTTATTGTACCACGCCCCACCCCCTAATTACCCCATCTCTCTCTCTCTTTCTCCGTTAAACATATAATTCATTTTATCGTCTAAATAAAAACACAGCATTCACAGCTGGGGCACTGATATTTATTGCCGTAGATTTCACATTTTATAATACTTTAATAATACCCTCTTTTCCGAATTTTCACTCCGGCGTTTCGGTCTAGACAGACTGACGACAGAGGAAGTGAGTTAAATAAAAGCTTGTAAAAGCGTTTAAACGTAGCTTTCTTTTTCTAAGCAGCTTAACAGTCAGTCTGTCTGTCTAGATCGAAACGCCGGAGTGAAAATTCGGACACTTCTACTTGACCGATACGGTTCACAGTTGGTACGTGGATCAAGACATGAAGACAATGCAGTCTGAAATTTTACTTAATTGGAAGCATAATTAATTTTTTATGAATTAATTAATATTTGGACCGAATTAGTAGGTGAACTCTAATTCACTTGCCCCATAGACCGTCAGATTTGAAAGGGAAACTACTACTACTTAACTTCATAGGATGATGTCTATTTGCAAAATTATCTTAAATGTGTCGCTACGTCTCTGGTAATTCTGCTAAATCAATACACATGTATATATTTAAATGGTTCCATGGCAGATGATCTCAGACAAAATATCTCACGGACAAATGAGCTCAGGACAAATGATCTCAGGACAAATGAACTCAAGGACAATTGATCTCGCGGACAAAAGATACAACGACAAAATATATCAGGACAAATAATACCATGGACAATTGATCTCAGACAAAATATCTCAGACAAAATATCTCACAGCTAAATTTTAATAGTGTATTGGATGATTTTAGTTCATCTGAACATTGATTTTATTGACTGTCATATTGTTTTGTTTATCGTTTCTGTTTGTCGTTCTTTGACAAAGAAACGTAACCAGTAGCGTACGCAGGGGGGGGGAGCAGTGGGAGCGGCCGCTCCCCCTCTGGCCATTTTCAGCAAAGTGGCGCCTTTTTGGAAACTTTTTAAACTAAAAGTTTTAAACAATGATATTTGTTAAAAAATATTTTTGTTCGGCACATCTATGTAAATCACAAGATTTCTTTTCATGCAGAAATTAAGCATTATAGTACTAGTCTAGTAGTGTCTACGTTTACAACAAGTATTAACAGCTGCATCAGTTTGACATTCTAAAAATAACCTTTACGATGCATTGCAATGTTTAAAAAACATCTACGGTAGTACAACTTGGCAAGAGGGGTGTAAAGTTTAAGGCAACTGTATAACGTATTTGCTTACGAATAATTGAATTAGAAAATGTTATACATAAAACTTCACACATAATTACTTTATATATACAGTTTGAATCGTGAGATTAATTTTGTAAGGTCAACAACGTCATCACGATGAAGTAGTAGTATTCTTACAGTTTGGGTGATAGTGATTACAAATTATATGAAACAGTTACAACCCCCCTCCCCCATGGACCCCTCTGTAAAAAAAATATTGTCATAATACCACTGCTACTTATTTAAATCTATTTCTGTAATATATATATATATATATATATATATATATATATATATATATATATATATATATATATATATATATATATTTGTGTAATATATATTTGCGTAATATATATGTATGTTTAGAACAGTCATCTAAAAACTGACGCTATGTTCACTCTGGGTTGGCTATCTCTCCCCCCCCCCCCCACACACACACACCTAACCACCACAATTGTGTAGAGCGACATTAATGTCACACCTAGGTATACACTGGGTTGGATAATTGACATAAAGTGAACGGACAGTGGTGAATGAAGTTGACCCCCCCCCCCCCCCAACCCACCCCGAACTGATTTGTTAAGTACATGTAGAAAAACGCGTAATGATGTACCGAAGTACCATGCCGCCAGAGTCATAGCTTTTGAAACAGGTAAAACTCTGTGAATATTGTTTTTGGAATTACCAGTAAAAAGGTGTGTGATCAATACAGTGATGTAACCCATACCTATCAGTATGTTAAAAAATGATCTTTAAATAACATAAAAGAAGCAGTAGTTAATTAAAATATATGAACTGAACTAAAAGACCGATATTTAGTTAAATGTAGGCTGTTATTCCGAATGTTATTCTATTATAGCGAAAAGCGTGGTTTTATACCAACTCTTATTTTAAAAACTTTCATTATGCTGTAATACTTTAGCATTGATGATGACGATATATTATATTCTGATAATAGACAAAAACATTTTGTAAACACGAATTGTGTTAAACAATTTTATTATATTCTAAAGTATTTATTTATTTATTTTGACATCTATAATTACATGTGTAGATATATACATATTTATATTCAGAGAGTGATTATTTCCCCTATTTCACTTGTCTTAAATAATTTCTCAGGAAATATTATGTAAGAAATTATTTTTTACAAGACTTACAAAACAGATTGTATTACGTTCATTGTTTTTGGTCGTAGTGTGTGTATATATATATATATATATATATTGTTTAGATTGATACAATTTTTGTTTTGCCGGCCTACATTGTGTGTTTTTTCTTATTTCTTCAGAGTGCTACTTTTAATTTATTTTACATCATAGCGAAGTAATGACATACAGCTAGTAATTATATATATATATATATATATATATATATATATATATATATATATATATATATATAATATATGTAGCAAAACTACATTTATTATGCATTATATATAAATAATGTAAGTCGAAATAAAAAATAAGAAATAAAAAACTTGCGTTGTGTCTATATGTTTATTTTACATACATATTAGATAATATGACAGAAACATTCGTATGCGCGTTTTATATTTGTCAGTACCATGATATATGACATCGTCTTACACATACATTGAAATGAACATATGACACTGAAAACTTTCTTCCTGCCTAATTGTGCCCGCAAGTTTCCATACATTCGTCTCTTGTCATAAAGTTGTTGTTATTTCCATCACAGCCGCCGTAGATAAATAAATCACATCTTCCAGACGATGGGTTGAAGAAGTATCTGATGAAGTGGCCACGGCATGGGCCCATATCTGGATTTAACTGACAGTCCGACGCTGGTGGTAAAAAAAATAGTTCATATTACTTCATTTTATTTAGTAAATGTTAAAAATTAGTTTATATTATTACTAACTTTTATTTGGTAAATGTTAACAAAATAGTTCAGATTACTGCATTTTATTTAGTAAATGTCAAGAAAATAGTTCATATTTCTACATTTTACATAGTACATTACAGCTTTTTATTTAGCGCTTGATATTCAATAATTATTTGGTGGAGGTGAAGTTTGTTAGACTGTTTTTTTCTTTTATATGTTTAAAATTCTACACGGTCTAAATTAAAGTTTGTAGTTATTAAAATAATAAAAATGAGCTTTCCAACAGATCTTTAAAGATATAAAAAGTATGAATTACACTTTTATTTCATACGACTGCTAAAATGATAGTATAGAGTTCGAATCCAGGTTCAAGTCTACCCAGTTCTGATGAGTACCTGAAAAGCTGGGCATAGTGCTGACCTCACTATCCTTCTTCTTCTTCTTCTTCTTCGTTCTTAATTATTAGTGTTGAAGGGGATCGAGATTTATCTGTCAGTGGGTTTGAACTCGAGACTTTGTTCGAATTTATCAACCATGAGCTTTTTGCCGACTCGACCACGCCTCCAAAACAATTAAGCGTTACGTGTCAACTGGTTATGCGCCATAGAGGCCATTGACTCCGATTTCAGCCTGCTTTTCTTTTTGGATTTGCTTCCATAGCCTTTGTCCAACCAAGAACAAACTACAAGGCAGCAGTTATTTAATTTTCGAGTTGTCTCTCCTAGAGGAGTGGCTGTCCCCAGCTAACGAGCCTCATCTGCCCGAGGGTTCGAACTCGAGACTTTTCGGTTTAGCAACCATGAGCTTTACCGACTCGACCACGCCGACCACTCCTCACTATCCAACAGAAACAGGTTAACTCTACTTCACTTGTCCCGTGTACCGTCAGGTTCGAAAGGAAACTTTACTTACTTTATTTCATCAATTCTTTTTTTTTTGCAATATTTTTATCTATAATGTAAATCAAGTAAGAAATAATATTAAATGTACAATTTTGTAGATCCCCTAGTGATACGTTAATAATTTCAAATATTTTCATATTTAACTCCTGACGATTTTAGGAACCTTATTTTTATTTGAATAGATTCTCTGCAGTAAAGTAGATAGGTTTTATAGAGGCAGACCAATCATGTCCGGCAGATGCAACAAGGACAAGATAGGCACTGCAGATGGTTGTTAAAACTATCTCTGGATCGAAATACATGAAATGTTATTGTGCGACTTATGTCAAAAATGGGAACAGATGAAACTTAAACCTGGTTAATATGTTTTTATTTTTTACATGAAACAATCAAGGAAATAGAATTAAACTAGATACTTGTATTTTAATTATGATGTAGATTTACTAAAGAACATGTTCGCGCGAAAAGAGGTATAATTTAAATCTAGATTTTAAAAATGTAACATAGATTTTATATCAAAAAATTGAAGAAAAAATACTTGAACCATACATTCTAATTAAAACCTTGATTTATCAAAGTACGTATGAGATTCAAATATAATACAATTAAAACACAATTTTAAGTCAGCTGATGAAAATATTCGAAATGTTATGTTTAAAATATTTCAGTGATACTGTGATACTTACGGCGATCCCCCGCTGAAAGTTGTATCATGAACACAATGAGTAAAACACAAACCGCCTGAGACAACATTTTACAAATGTTGTTTCTTGTGTTAGCTGATCTCCGCAAAGTCATTTTATAATTAGCAGCAGCACTTTAGTGAGTTAATTAAAACTGTTTTTTTTTAAACAACAAGCTCGCTTATTGGAAAGCTTTATAAAAAGAAATCAAAGTGTAGTGGGTGGATATATATTACAAACAAAATTTCGCCTAAATTATTTTGAATACAAGATAAAAATCTATACCCTAAAATTTTTACTTGGTAGTATATATATACATACATATATATATATATATATATATATATATATATATATATATATATTAATAAGCCATAGTGATACATAATCTTGTGTATAATATAACCAACTACAAATATTGCTTAGCTTAACGTGCAAAATAGATCAATAGTTTTGAAACAATAACTGGTCTATTAATATGTTATTGTTCTTTTATAATATCCTTTTTTTAATGAGTGTTAAATGCTGATGCTCACAGATGTGCATTAGCAGACGCAACAAAATAACAACTCATCCATTTACCAATATTACCTATTTCACGACATCTATTAATTGTATCCGACCCGTCTTAAATAATCACAGCATCCTGTCAATGCTTTCTCCCAATCACATAAACTGATACAGAACTTTGCCTTAACCGTAGACATTAGACAAAAGGCCAATATCTGTCTTTGTGCCATTGATATCGCTCTACCTTCAGAGTTTCTTCCAGGTATCTCTTCCACCCCCCTCCCGAAAAACCATGACCGCCCACCCCCCCCCCCCCCACTCGAACGAAATAGAATATATATTGAAAATATAATTTTACTAGAGTTGGTGAGAGTTATACAAGTTAAGAACTTTCAATTAACAGGCTTGTTCATCTGATGTTAATCAATAGGTTAAAGGTGAGAAGCGGGTGGGGGGAAGGGAATTGAACCAAACTTAAAGTCAATATTGTAGGCGGCTTTGAATTCATAAAATCCACCCCTTTCCCCCCCCCCCCCCCCCCCGCTCCCACTACCACCACCCACTATACAGATGGGCTACTAATTAAAAGCCTACAGGTGAGCTTAACTTAATGCTGATACAACAAAACAAGTTGATTAGTCCTTGCCAATCACATGTGTTTAGTGCAGATCAAGTACTCCTCCCACACCATGTTATTATACCACTCTACATCCCCTAATTACCCCATCTCCCCCCCCTCTCTCTCTCTCTGTTAAACATATAATTCATTTTATCGTTTAAGTAAAAACACAGCATTAACAGTTGGGATACGATACTTATTGCCGTAGATTTCACATTTTACAAAACTTTTATAATACCCTCTTTTCTGTCACACCTTTGATTATGTATTGACATATTCGAACAGAGATCAATTTCACATTTTGTATATTTTTATAATACCCACCATTCCGTTTGACCTTGGATTTTTTTATTGACGTACATATTTATTTCACTGTGTATTTATTTATGTTAAAGAAATAAAACCAATAAACATGCATTTCAATTATATATTATTAAAAAATAAAATGTGAAATAAGGAGGAGAAAAACTTGGAGGTATATGTATACGTTTATTTTACAACCACATTATCAAATATAACCGTAACATTTGTATGTGAAAGTGAAATCTGCATATTTGATTGTGACTGCATCACACATATATTTACGCTTACATATGAAAATTTTGTTCATAGTAAACACAGGCTAAAAACTTTCTCCTTGTTTGATCTCAAACCCTTGCAATACCTAAGATAACATTCAAAACGGTGGAGGGAATGTCTATTCATCTCAAGCAAAATATCCACTCATTTTACCATTCTCGCAGATGTGGGTTGTAAAGTAAAGTAAAATTCCCTTTTCAAACCTGGCGGTCTATAGGGCAAAGTAAGTAGAGTTCACCTGTTTCTGTGACCTCGGCATATGAACAGATAATGTGGTCAGCACTATGCCCAGCCGCCTTTACTTTCCCCAACGTGAGTTAGGTACCCATCAGAGTTGGATGTACTCAGGGACGGCCTGCTGACTTGAACCTGGATTCGAAATGGACACTTACGGGTTAGAAGTCCAGCTCTCTAAAGTTCATGGCGAAGTAGTGACGAGGGTCATCGATTTCACACAATCTATTATGTAGACTAGATGTTGTGACTATAAATCCATTTGGCTCACACCATCGACCGTACTGACAGGCTACTAAGTGAATGGTAAGAGCCTAACAGTAAAATTATCCAAACGCTGTGAGGGGAGCAAAACTATATTATTGAACGCTGATGCGACGAAAATGTCCATATTATTTCCCCTTATTTTAAGTACTCATTCTAGAATACCTATAAAACATTGTATCGTCTAAGTGAGAAACCTGGCTTTAAATTGAACATGGCATTATGATTATTGCTTAGGCATATCATCTAAAATCTAAAGCATTCCTTTACCCTTGTTAATGTTGTTAGGGCACCACAGAGTGGTGAGTCTAGGGCTAAGTGTCCCATGGCGGCGCCAACCCTTCCTCCATGCCTGACCACAGCCGGACGCCTCCATCTAGGTGGCTCGGCTTGGTCACGAAAACGTGGTCGATGAAGTTCATCAGGCGCGAGTCAGACACTGGCCCCTGCTCACCCCACTCAGGGAAAAATTATATGGGGCACCTGCTGATCTGGAGACCACAGTCCGGTTTATTCACGAAGTTGGACTTGTTGTCTAATTCCTCCACCATATTCTCAATTAAGAACGAAGAAGAAGAAGATGAAGTTCATCTAGAATTAGAACTAGGCATCGATGGTTTTATTTTGCACTTTTCTCTCCTAGAAGAGTGCTAACACCGGCTATTGAACCTAATCTGCCCGGACGGAACTGGGATATTTCGTTTTAGCGATTTTCATTTTTTTTTATATTTTTATATAATGAAAGAATAATCATAAAACTAGAGAGTAAATATTTCTTTTTATAAAAATTTACATCAATAGAGATCTGTTTTTTTTTTTTGGTTTTTTTTTTATTGCTGTTGTTTTTTACGGGTATTGTTTTTTATTTTATTTTAATGAAATCCTTTTCTCGAGAGTGCCCAAGATACTTGGTACAGATTAGAATTCATCTCATTGGCATACAAGGGGATAGTGTGGTCAGCTTTATGTCCAGTCGCCTTGTTTCCCTAATTTGTGTTCATCGGGGTGAGTGTACTCAGGGACGTCCGACTGACACGAACCCATAATATCATAATCTTTATCTATACGGCTGTTTAACAAGGTTATAAAATGCTCTGAAATGTGAGTTCAATGAAATAGTTCAAAAGTATTTTATAACTTCGAAACGTATTTTTTAAATTAATTTCTAACGCTGGTAGAAACTACATAAGCTTTTATCCTGCATTATCTTTTAATCATTATGTTATTGTATGTATATAAATAATAAAATATGAACAATAGGCATGAAAAGTCTATGTAATCATACTAAATTTTTGAAAACGTCTTTTTAAAATATGGCAAGAGACGTAATTATAGTTATATTTGAAAAAAAATTAAAGCTGTTTGAAAACCATTGATTACACTAATTTTAATATTTTTGTAACGACTATAAGCCGCTGAAAAGCAGTTTAGAATTGTTTTATCAATTCAAATATTTTCAAACGGTGCCCTCAACCTCTCTTTGAAGTCAACCAGAATGGTCAGGGAGAATAAAACAATAAAAGTCAGAAGAATTGTTTTCCATAATAAAAATACACAATAGTGATCTATGGTGTATAATGTATTATTGTATTTATATTAAATAATATAACATCCCCAATCACCACAACACCCTAACTCTAGTAATCCAAATTAAAAATAAAAGTGTTTGCTAAATTACTATTATATTACTAGTAATTATGTCTTTGGCTATTTCTAGCCTTGTCTTCATTACACAAATATTATAAAATATTCAATTTTAGTTGAAAAATATGCCTCGTGGCAAAAAAAAAATGTGGAACCATTTGTAACCAGCTTTTCAGGTCTATTGTAAAAAAAAAATTCTTTATGTAAAGAATGTATATAGAGAAAAACTAAAAGTCAGGTTTACTGCATGTTTATTTTATTACCACATTTTCAAATTGACGGCAACATTCACATTCAAAAGTGTTGTATTTATTTCACTGTGACTTGACTGCATCAGTTACCGACGGCAAGTGTGGACACAACTTTCCCTTGTTTCAAATCTGTTTCTGTTTCCTCCACAGCCCCCGTAGTTAAACTCTTCACAGTCGTTTTTGGATGGGTTGTAGTAGAACATGAACGCGAGGGCTTCACATGGACCAGGGTCTGGCTCCAGTAGACAGTACTTAGCTGGTGACCAGAAAAATAGGAAATAGTGCTACACTTTCATTAGGAATAATTTTAAAATAATGTTTCTGCGTGCAATTCATTTCAAGTAAGATTTATTTTTTGTGCCCAATTGTCCCTCATTCCCTCACCCCTCCCCCAGCGTGACAGATATGGCATTTTGTTAACCCTCCATCTGGGGCATAAGAAATCAACACTCTTAGGGAAGATTTTTCTAGAAGACTTGTCGGTGTCCCAAGTTCTAAGAAAACTTTTATGTTACCAAATATTTGGAGTCGATGGAGGCGTGAAGCCGCATGGCAAATAAACTGTCTTGTGGATTCAATCGAGTTTTATGGCTTGGGGGAGTCAAGGAAATTGTCTTGGGGATTCAATCGGAAATGGCTTGGGGGAATCAAGGAAACTGTCTTGGGGATTCAATCGAGTTTTATGACTTGGGGGAGTCAAGGAAACTGTCTTGGGGATTCAATCGGAAATGGCTTGGGGGAATCAAGGAAACTGTTTGTGGATTCAATCGGAAATGGCTTGGGGGAATCAAGGAAACTGTCTTGGGGATTCAGTCGAGTTTTATGGCTTGGGGGAGTCAAGGAAACTGTCTTGGGGATTCAATCAAAAATGGCTTGAGGGACTCATGGAAACTGTCTTCGGGATTCAATCAAAAATGGCTTGAGGGACTCAAGGAAACTGTCTTGAGGATTCAATCAAAAATGTCTAGAGGGACTCAAGGAAACTGTCTTGAGGATTCAATCAAACATGGCTTGAGGGACTCAACGAAACTGTCTTGGGGATTCAATCAAAAATGGCTTGAGGGACTCAAGGAAACTGTCTTGGGGACCCGATGACTGTCTTGCAGGACCGCAAGAAAATTGCAGGAGACCGACAAAAGTGAACGCGGCCACGTGTGTCTTTGTCACAAAAGGGAAAAGATGAAATATTTGAGTTTGGAAATTAGATATTATGATTAAGTTTTATTCCAAATATTTTTTTTCTGAGATAGTAGAGGTGTTAAAAACGATGTATACTAAACTAAATTTTTATAGGCTGACTGAAGGTCCGTGGGGCAATTGAGGTAGAGTTCACCTGTTTCTGTGACCTCGGCATATTAAGGGATAAAGTTATCAACACTAGGTCCAGCCGACTTTACTTTTACTAATGTGAGTTAGGTACCCATTAGAGCTGGCTGGACTCATGACTTTCGGGTTAGTAGTTGTAAGCTTTACAATTCGACCTCGTCGTCTCATTTGATCCAAATAGGCTTCTACTGTTTTTTCACTTCATTAACAGAAAAACATTTTATATATGGGGGAAGGGGGGGGGGGCTCTAACTAGAGATGTATAAAAATTAATGTGGATGAAATCACAAAATATTCCAGTACTCACGGACTCCCAACACTGATGGTTGCAAGTTGAGCACAATAAGCAACACACAAATCCACTTGGTCCACATTTTACAACAGTTGTGGCTTATTGTAACTCTCAACATAAAGTAATGTTACAGTGAACAGCAGAACTTGGGGGTGTTAATTACAACGGGTTCATGTACAAAATATTCACTTAATGGCAAGATTTGTTTTATTTAAGTATTTAAAAGTAATTTTCTTTTCTATGCATCTTAACAGAATATCCGATACGACTATATTTGTTTAAATAAAAGTCAAACAACATCTTTAAATATAGTTAAAGTACGAAACAATATTAATTAATATATATATATATATATATATATATAGTTATAATAACATAAAACAATACTGTAATAATATAACAGATTTTAAAAGAAACGTTAAATGCAAAACATGAAATATATAATAATGTATTTTGTTTTAAAATAGTATACGGTTACACGATACTGTTAATTGGGGGATATTAAACCCTTGATAAAAATACACATACGAAATGAAAAAGGATCCGAAACCTAGGAACCGTTCGTTTTGAATGCTGTTGTTGTAGTATTGCTTTAAAAAATCTAAATGTAATTGATGTATATCTTACAATTGCGATTGAAGCACAATATCAATAGTAAATGCACCTAGTAACGACTGTTTTATAGAGAAAATAAGACAAGCCTTATGATAACATGATTTGATCAAATATTTTTTGGCATCTCTTGATGGCACGATTTATTTTGGGAAAAAATGATCCTCTAAATCACATTTCACTCTACAAATATTAGAAATAAGTAACGCACGAACAAATCGCACCATTCTCTCATTTCATACACTATAACTTCAATTTCCTACTTACCTACTTGCTGGAAAACGTAAAAGAAATCCTTTATTCCCGCGATCGTTTTATTGCATGCCCTATAGGTTGGGGCCGCTTCTTGTAAACAAAGATTGTGTTCAAATAATCAATTACCACAATTAATTACATGAGATAACAGCGTGACCCAAGCTACCAGCGTAGCTTCAGAGCCATAAATAAGACAAGATCCTTGAATTATCGTTTAATAAAACTTCTGTGTATTGCATATAACGTGATTATCAGTGTAGGCGTCATTGGCATTAATAAATTTGGTGAGCAAGGCTACGAGAGCTTAATTCGCGGGCGAAATTCGCTTTTCTTAAATAGATCACTAATAGTTACATTACAGCAGGGTTTAATTAATTGTATTTTTATAAGGAACGGTGTGGTCACGAAAGTCACGAGTTCGGGTGCCGTGATTTTGTTCATTAACCCACACCCCTAACCCTATACTCATATCCCCATGAATGTATCCATACTCATAGCGTAATATCCTCAAGTTCATTATACATATTCAAAATATGATGTTCTAAACTCACCCAAAACACCATTTTCATACTCGTTAATAAACATGTGTTTATAAATCTATGTTCACAACCCCATATTCATAACTTGGTGTTCAGAATTCCATGTGCGCAATCTGATCATCAATATGGCATGTTCATCAAACCAAGTGCATAAGCCCATGTACATAAGCCCATATTCATAAGCCCATGTTCATAAGCCCGTCTTAGCTATAAAATATTCACAAACTCTTGTTCATGATAAACAGTGAATGAGTGCAGAGGCGTAGCGACTGGGGGGGCGGGGGGTGCGGACCACACCGGGTGACACCATTTAGGGGGGGTGGGGGTGACACCAAGGCAAAAAAAATAGCAAAATATATAGAGGGGATGCAAATCGAAAGTTTGAGGGGGGGGTGCAAATCGAAAATTTGCCCCCTGTATGGGTCGCTACGCCTCTGGGGGGGGTGATACCATTAAGTGCCGCACCGGGTGACACCCTACCTCGCTACGCCACTGAATGAGTGGCTTTCAATATATGCTTTAGCGTCACCATCAGACAATCCGACACCAAACACTCTATACGAAAACATCATATTGCTGGAAAATGGTCAAGTCGTAGAGTGCACAACTAATATAACGAGCGTCTTGGGTTTGGATCCCAGGCTCCAGTCAGCAGGGTGTCATTGTTACCTGCCTTCGTTGTACCCGGAAGAACATATTGTAAAAGCCATATTTATTTTACCGAATGTCAGTCTATTAGTGTTGTGTTTCGGTAGGTTTATGAACAGTGAAGGAATGGCGGAACACCAATATATAGTGTGACACCATCAGACAATGTGACACCAATCGTTCTATAAGAAAACATCATAATACTTGAAAATAGTCGTGTCGGAGAGTACACATTTATTTTACCAAATGCCAGTCTATTTGTGCCTTGTTTACGTACGTTTTTTTGTAAAATTGTTGTATTAGGAGGGTGTGTTATTAAGTCCTTGAAGAGACGATTTTTAAAACTATATAATTGTAGGTCATTTAAGTTAGCCGGCTAAAGAAATAATACACTCCGTGCAGACGGTAACAGTGGGAACGACAGACAAGTCTGTTTTGTAAAAAGAAACGTTAGCCTTTCGGGCCTGTCTAACCGTGAGAAAGATGAAGTAGAGTTCACCAGTTAGGTTTCTTTGACTTAGGCATATGAAGGGATGGTATGGTCAGCACTATAACCAGCCGCCTTTACTCTCCCTAACGTGTGTTAGCTACTCGTTAGAGCTGAGAGGACTCATTTTAAAGTATAAATAATTTTTTAAAAAGCTATTTTAATTTTAGCTGCTTTTTTTCGCGAAGGGTGTTGCTTATTTAGTTTAAAGTACTTCAGACTTTCGGGTTAGCATTTGTAAGCTCAGTTACGTCGTCCCTTAGTTAGATATAGGTAAATGAAAACTAATGTTTGTGGTAGCGATTTAAACGTAGCCATGTAGCTCTCAAGGTGTGAGGCGAATTGTAATCTGGAACGTTGACTGTCATGTTATTTCAATGTTTTTGATTGGTAGATTGAATTATATAGTTACGTTATAATGCATCTATTTTTATATTCCTTTTGTATTCTCTACAACTATAAATCAGAGCAGTTGTATGGTTCATTCAGTTGTCTCATGAGGTAATGGATGCACAAAGAAAAGTGGGAAACTATCAGAATGCGTTCAAGGGCTTAAGATATATAGTTTTTGAGTTCTCGTCATCACTCTCTCGGTCATTGCTAGTATTGTCAGAACGAATGCTAAGAAATACGCGGAGTTTTAAGATAATATAATAATGTAAAATATGAGTTATAGAAAATTGCTCAAAAGTATTTTATAACTCGAAACAATTTTTTAGCACTGGTACAAACTACATAAGCTTCCTACTTATATAATTAATTACTGTTTGTATATAGAAAAAAATATTTTTAAAATTGTAAAAAACAAAAGTATTATTTTTCTCTATGTAAATAATGTAGAGAAAATCTTAAAGTCAGTCTACTGCATGTTTATTTATTCACACATTTTCAAAGATAACGGCAGCATTCACATTCAAAAGTGTTGTATTTATTTGACTGTGACTTGAATGCATCAGTTACCAACCGCAAGTGTGGAGACAATTTTCCCTCGTTTTAAATCTGTTCCTGTTTCCTTTACAGCCCCCGTAGCTAAACTCTTCACAGTCGTTTGTGGATGGGTTGTAGTAGAACATGGTAAAGTCGGCTTTACATGGACCAGTCTCTGGCTCCAGTTTACAGTACCTAGCTGGTGATCAGAAAAATAGGAAAATAGTGCTACACTTTCATTAGGAATAAATAATATTAAAATAATGTTTCTGCGTGCAATTCATTTCAAGAAAGATTTATTTTTATGCCCAATTGTCCCTCATTCCCTCACCCCTCCCCCAGCGTGACAGGGCATTTCGTTAACTCTCCATCTGGGGCATAAGAAATAAAAAATCCTGAAGAAGATTTTGTCGGTGGACCAGGTTCTAAGAAAACTTTTATGTTACCAAATATTTGGAATCGATGGAGGCATGAAGCCGCATGGCAAAGAAACTGTCTTGTGGATTCAATCGAGTTTTATGGCTTGGGGGAATCAAGGAATTTGTCTTGGGGATTTAATCGGAAATGGCTTGGGGGAATCAAGGAAACTGTCTTGGGGATTCAATCGTAAATGGCTTGGGGGAATCAAGGAAACTGTCTTGGGGATTCAATCGAGTTTTATGGTTTGGGGGAGTCAAGGAAACTGTCTTGGTGATTCAATCAAGAATGGCTAGGGGGACTCAATGAAACTGTCTTCGGGATTCAATCAAAAATGGCTTGAGGGACTCAAGAAAACTGTCTTGTTGATTCAATCAAAAATGGCTTGAGGGACTCAAGGAAACTGTCTTGAGGATTCAATCAAAAATGGCTTGAGGGACTCAAGGAAACTGTCTTGGGGGACCCGATGACTGTCTTGGAAGACTACAAAAAGTGAAGAAGACCGATAAAAGTGAACACGGCCCCGTGTGTCTTGGGCACAGAAGGGAAAATATGAAATATTTGAGTTTGGTAATTAGATATTATGATTAAGTTTTATTCCAAATTTTTTTTTCTCAGACAGTAGATGTGTTAAAAACTATGTATGCTAAACTATATTTTTAATAGGCTGACTGAAGGTCCGTGGGGCAAGTGAGGTAGAGTTCACCTATTTTTTGTGACCTCGGCATATGACGGGATAAAGTTATCTGCACTAGGTCCAGCCGACTTTACTTTTACTAATATGAGTTAGGTACCCATTAGAGCTAGCTGGACTCATGGACTTCTACAAATTTAAATCTGAATTCAAATTTCGGTTAGTAGTTGTAAGCTTTACAGTTCGACCTCGTCGTCTCATTTGATCCAAATAGGCTTCTACTGTTTTTTCACTTCATTAACAGAAAAACATTTTATATATGGGGGAAGGGGGGGGGGGGCTCTGACTAGAGATGTAAAAAAATTAATGTGCATGAAATCACAAAATATTCCAGTACTTACGGCCTCCCAAGACTGATGGTTGCATGTTGAGCACAATAAGCAACACACAAATCCACTTGCTCAACATTTTAGAACAGTTGTGGCTTATTTTAACTCTCAATATAAAGTAATGTTACAGTGAACAGCAGCCCTTCGGGGTGTTAATTAAAACTGGTTCATGTACAAAATATTCACTTAATGGCAAGATTTTTTAATTTAAGTAATTAAAAGTAATTTTCTTTTCTATGCATCTTAACAGAATATCCGATACGTCTATATTAGCTTAAATAAAAGTCAAAAAACACCTTAAAATATAGTTAAAGTACGAAACAATATTTATAAATAAATAAATACATATATATATATATATATATATATATATATATATATATATATATATATAGTTATAATAACATAATACAATACTGTAATAATATAACAGATTTTAAAAGAAACGTTTAATGCAAAACATGAAATATATAATAATGTATTTTGTTTTAAAATAGTATACTGTTACACGATACTGTTAATTGGGGGATATTAAACCCTCGATAAAAATACACATACGAAATGAAAAAGGATCCGAAATCTATGAACCGTTAGTTTTGAATGCTGTTATTGTAGTATTGCTTTAAAAAATCTAAATGTATTTGATGTAAATCTTACAATTGCGATTGAAGCACAATATCAATAGTAAATGCACCTAGTAACGATTGTTTTATAGAGAAAATAAGACAAGCCTTATGAAAACATGATTTGATCAAATATTTTTTTGGCGTCTCTTGATGGCACGATTTATTTTGGGGAAAAAATGATCATCTAAATCACATTTCACTCTATAAATATTAGAAATAACAAACGCACGAACAATTCGCACCATTCTCTCATTTCATACCTTATAACTTCAATTTCCTACTTACCTACTTGCTGGAAAACGTATCATAGAAAGCCTTTATTGACGCTATCGTTTTATTGCATGCCGATTAGGTTGGGGCCGCTTCTTGTAAACAAAGATTTTGTTCACATAATCAATTACCATAATTAATTACATGAGATAACAGTGTGGCCCAAGCTACCAGCGTAGCTTCAGAGCCATAAGTAAGACGAGATCCTTGAGTTTTCATTTAACACAAACTTCTGTGCGTTGTTTATATAACGTGATCGTTAGAGTAGTTAATAAATTTGTTGAGCAAGGCTACGAGAGCTTAATTCGCGGGCGAAATTCGCTTTTCTTAAGGGGGCAGTATCACCCAGACATTTGAAAATTGACGAAAAAATTTGCCAAAAAAAAACTATTACACATACATACATAATTTTTTTACCATAATAGTAATTAATAAGGAGCTATAAAACAGCACATAAAAGAAAGTTAACGTATGATGCAAACATTTTTTATAAATAATTTAACCAAAAAATTTTCACTAAGTAATTTGTGGCTGCGGTTTTCCAACATTTAGGCCCTTCCTGCTGAAAATACATTGGGAGATGCCTAACAGGATAGCCTATCGCTGGAACTAGAAGATATTCATTGTGACAAATTTTGAAATTTTTAGAATTTTTCAAAGTCTGACAAAAAAAAAATGAACTTAGAAATTTTCTAATAAATTTATCCCTCATTAGAATCCTATGATTTTAGTTCAGACGACAGCCATTAACGCAAGGAAGGTTTATACCAAATTTTAAATACTTTACTTATGGTTTCGGGAAATTGTTTACAAAAAAATTCAAAATGTAATAAAATATGAACAAAATAATTTTTTGCAAATATGTTGCTATACATATACCCTACAATTTATATACTGTATTATAGCAGAAGAACCGTTACTACTGCTGTACAATTTTGACATGTGTATGTCGAATAGTTTTTTTTTGGTGAATATTTTTGTTTTCCTCCCTTAGTCTGGGTGATACTGCCCCCTTAAGTAGATCAGTAATATTTACATTACAGCAGGGTTCAATTAATTGTATTTTTATAAGGAACGGTGTGGTCACGAAAGTCACGAGTTCGGGTCCCGGAAGTTTGTTCATTAACCCACACCCCTAACCCTATACTCATATCCCCATGAATGTATCCATACTCATAGCGTAATATCCTCAAGCTCATAATATATATTCAAAACATGATGTTCTAAACTCACCCAAAACACCATTTTCATACTCATTAATAAACATGTGTTTATAAATCTATGTTCACAACCCCATATTCATAACTTGGTGTTCAGAACTCCATGTACGCAATCTCGTCATCAATTGGGCATGTTCATCAACCCAAGTGCATAAGCCCATGTACATAAGCCCATGTTCATAAGCCCGTCTTAGCTATAAAATATTCACAAACTCTTGTTTATAATAAACAGTGAATGAGTGCAGAGGCGTAGCGAGGGGGGGGCGGGGGTGCGGACCGCACCGGGTGACACCATTTAGGGGGGTGACACCAAGGCAAAAAAATAGCAAAATATATAGAGGGGATGCAAATCGAAAGTTTGAGGGGGGGGGGGGTGCAAATCGAAAATTTGAGGGGGGGGGGGGTGCAAATCGAAAATTTGTCCCCGGTAGGGGTCGCTACGCCTCTGGGGGGGTGATACCATTAAGTGCCGCACCGGGTGACACCCTACCTCGCTACGCCACTGAATGAGTGGCTTTCAATATATGCTTTAGCGTCACCATCAGACAATCCGACACCAAACACTCTATACGAAAACATCATAATGCTGGAAAATGGTCAAGTCGTAGAGTGCACAACTAATATAACGAGCGTCTTGGGTTTGGATCCCAGGCTCCAGTCAGCAGGGTGTCATTGTTACCTGCCTTCGTTGTACCCGGAAGAACATATTGTAAAAGCCATATTTATTTCACCGAATGCCAGTCTATTAGTGTTGTGTTTCGGTAGGTTTATGAACAGTGAAGGAATGGCGGAACACCAATATATAGTGTGACACTATCATACAATGTGACACCAATCGTTCTATAAGAAAACATCATAATACTTGAAAATAGTCGTGTTGGAGAGTACACATTTATTTTACCAATTGCCAGTCTATTTGTGCTGTTTCGGTAGGTTTATTTGTAAAATTGTTGGATTAGGAGGATGTGTTATTAAGTCCTTGAGGTGACAATTTTTAAAACTATATAATTGTAGGTCATTTAAGTTAGCCGGCTAAAGAAATAATACACTCCGTGCAGACGGTAACAGTGGGAACGACCGACAAGTCTGTTTTGTAAAAAGAAACGTTACCTTTTCGGACCTGTCTAACCGTGAGTAAGATGAAGTAGAGTTCACCAGTTAGGTTTCTTTGACTTAGGCATATGAAGGGATGGTATGGTCAGCACTATAACCAGCCGCTTTTACTCTCCCTAACGTGTGTTAGCTACTCGTTAGAGCTGAGAGGACTCATTTTCAAGGATATATAATTTTTAAAAAAGCTATTTTAATTTTGCCTGCTTTTTTTCGCGACGGGTGTTGCTTATTTAGTTTAAAGTACTTCAGACTTTCGGGTTAGCATTTGTAAGCTCAGCTACGTCGTCAATTAGTTAGATAAAGGTAAATGAAAACTAATGTTTGTGGTAGCGATTTAAACGTAGCCATGTAGCTCTTAAGGTGTGAGGCGAATTGTAATCTGGAACGTTGACTGTCATGTTATTTCAATGTTTTTGATTGATAGATTGAATTATATAGTTACGTTATAATGCATCTATTTTTATATTCCTTTTTTATTTTCTACAACTATAAATCAGAGCAGTTGTATGGTACATTCAGTTGCCTCATGACGTAATGGACGCACAAAGTAAAGTGGGAAATTATCAGAATGCGTTCAAGGGCTTAAGATAAATAGTTTATGAGTTCTCCTAATCACTCTCTCGATCATTGCTAGTACTGTCAGAACGAATGCTAAGAAATACGCGGAGTTTTAAGATAATATAATAATGTAAAATATGAGTTATAGAAAATTGCTCAAAAGTATTTTATAACTCGAAACCTTTTTTTAGCACTGGTACAAACTACATAAGCTTCCTACCTATATCATTAAGTTACTGTTTAGATGTAAAAAATATTTAAAAATGTAAAAAAAAATTCTGTATGTAAATAATGAAGATAAAAAGTGAAAGTAAGTTTATTTGTTTATTTATCCACACATTGTCAAATATAACGGCAGTATTCACATTCAAAAGTGTTGTATTTATTTCACTGTGACTTCAAGGCATCAGTTACCAACGCAAGTGCGGAGACAATTTTGCCTTGTATCAAACCTGTTTCTGTTTCCTTCACAGCCCCCGAAGAAGAACAGTTCACAGTCGTTTGTGGATGGGTTGTAGTAGAACATGGGCATGATGGCATCACATGAACCATAGTCTGCCATTAGTTTACAGTACCTAGCTGGTGATCAGAAAAATAGGAAATAGTGCTACACTTTCGTTAGGAATAATTTTGAAATAATGTTTCTGCATGCAATTCATTTCAAGTAAGATTTATTTTATGCCCAATTGTCCCTCGTTCCCTCACCCCTCCCCAAGCGTGACAGGGCATTTCGTTAACTCTCCATCTGGGGCATAAGAAATCAAAATCTTGAAGAAGATTTTTCTAGAAGACTTGTCGGTGGCCCAGGTTCTAAGAAAACTTTTATGTTACCAAATATTTGGAGGCATGGAGCCGCATGGAGCAGCATGGCAAGGAAACTGTCTTGAGGATTCAATCAAGAATGGCTTGGGGGACTCAAGGAAACTGTCATGGGGGACCCGATGACTGTCTTGGAAGACTACAAAAAATGTGCAGGAGACCGACAAAAGTGAACACGGCCCCATGTGTCATGGGCACAAAAGGGAAAAGAAGAAATATTTGAGTTTGGAAATTAGATATTTTCATTAAGTTTAATTCCAAACTTTTATTTTTTTCTCAGCCAGTAGGTGTGTTAAAAGCGATGTATGTTAAATTATATTTTTAAGAGGCTGACTAATAAGGCTCCTTTACGGACAAGTGAAGTAGAGTTCACCTGCTTTTGTGTCATTTACTTTTACTAACAACGTGAGCTAAAAACCCATTAAAGCTGGGTGGAAAAAGTGACTTCTACGAACTTGAATCCGGATTCAAACTCGAGAGTTTCGGGTTAGCAGTTGAACGCTCTACTATTCG